AGAGCCTCCTTGATCTCTTGCTTCTGTTTTGAATTAACCATTAGAAGGAACCAGCAGGAAGTTGGAGAGCAAAAGAAGAAAAGTCTTGGGATTTATTTCTCCTATTCCCTTAATAACAGGCTGCTGTCTATGGTGAATGTCTATTCAAGACTAGAAAAACTAGAATTAACTTTATACCTCCCATATGTTTGTTATGATATTAATCAATCTCGTGTAATGCAACAGGCATGTGTAAAAAGACTTTCAAAAATCAGATTTACCATTTTAAAAGTTGAAGGGGAGAAACAAAAGTGGCTTCCTCACTAGCCTAATAGCTTTATATCAGCAGTTCCCAAACCTTTGGCACCAGGGACTTGTTTCCTGTAAGGATATTTTCACAGACCAGGGCAGCAGGGCGTGGTGGCTTTGAGATACTTCAAGCACATTGCATTTATTGTGTATTTTATTTCTACTATTATTACATTGTAATATATAATGAAATAAAACTCACCATAATGTAGAATCAGTGTGACCCCTGAGCTTCTTTTCCTGCAACTAGACAGTCCCATCTGGGGGTGATGGGAGAAAGTGATAGATCATCCAGCATTAGATTATCATAAGGATTGTGCAACCTAGATCCCTTGCATGCACAGTTCACAATAGGGTTTGCACTTCTGAGAATTTAATGCCACTACTGATCTGACAGGAGATGGAGCTGAGGCAGTAATGTGAGCAATGGGAAGTGGATGTAAATGTAGATGAAGCTTTGCTCCCTCCCCGCTCACCTTCTGCTGTGCAGACCTGGTTCCTAAGGGGCTACAGACTGGTAAGAGCTTGTGGCCCAGGGTTGGAGACCCCAGCCCTGTATTCTCTGATGCTTAGTATATGTGCCACAAGAATGACTTGGTATGTTCAGTATTTTCCAGAGGTCCAGATGTAATACTATGTGGATGAAAATGCACAAGAGACCAGGGACCTGGGAGGAGCAATTCCCAGGAAAGAGAGAAGAAAAGATGCAGGAAATAATATCTCCTTGAAAACATCTCCCTGAAAGAATTAGCCTAGAAGGGGAAATGACTCAGGGTTACAACAGAGTCTGTATTTATTAATTTGGGCTTCTACCTACTACCATATTCTTCAGCGTCTTACAAGAAAAGATCACTAGAATTTGTTTTATTTTGAATCTGGTTATGTAAGACAAAAACACTCTAAGCTCATGGATTTGGATTTCTTCTGTTGCCTGGAATGTTTAAACAATCTTTCATGTTCACATGGTGGGTAAAAGGTGTTATCTGCACTGATAAAACCAGTTAAAGCAAGAGAACCTCCAGAAGGAAGAAACAGTCTCCCTCCTGTCTAGTCTCATACACTGTCCTCCTGACAGTGTGATGCAAACTTGACCAAGTGGGAAAGGGCCATAGGTATTTACTTCTGTGTTATACATTCAATCTCCTGCTCAAATAGCTTTGCACCACTTGAATATCCAGTGATAGTGATCGACACCATCTCTGGGAGTGCTGGAGTATCTCTGATCCAATCACTAATGCATTCATGCTGGTGGGCCATGGGCTTCAGGGCAGAAGCTCTCCAGAGCTACGCCGATCTCATTCTACTTCCTGACAGCTCTAAGAAATACTAACTGGGCCCATAATTAATTTCACATGACACTTATCCAGCCACATTTATTTTGGTCAGGAGCTGATGTTCTTATTCACCTTGGCTGTGTTAAATCTTCAATATCATAGAAGATGCTTTCTGGCTGAATTCAGGATATATGTTGAATTTTTGAAATTAAGTCCTTTAGCCAAATAGATGCTTAGAAAGACCATAACAACTGGGTCTGTTGTAAGCTATATGTTTGCCCGAGGCCATCTCTCAGAGATGTTACTATCTAGCAAACAAACCAGGGTAAAGTGAATGAGGTAACATTGATCTGTGTATAAAATCTCCTCTTTCTCCCTTTCATAGAAGTTATGACATACAGTGTCCATATTAACCTGGCAGGTCTTTGTTTATGTGTAATATATATCAGTGTTGAATGTTTGCTAAATAATTAGGGTTATTATTTTTAATTTAAATTCCTATTTGATTATTTGAGAGCATTAAATAGAACAGTCACTGGCCTATTAGAGAAGCAGAGTGAAGGGTCCAGAGTTGGGTTTGAACTGTGCCTCTTCCATTAGATTGGCAATGAAGTTTGGTCAAATGACCCCCGTCTTCATATATCAATATGATTTATAACAACAGTATGTGTTACAATTCCTGCTATTGTGAATATTATGTTTCATGAGAAAATACTTTTAAGTATGTTTCTAGAAATGATAAAACTTCATATATTTTTTTAAAACATGAAGACAGTAACATTTTAGATAAGACATTAGATCACAAAATACCAGAGGACTCTTTTGTTTAACATTCAGAGCAGAGTAAGGTGTAAATAGAGGGAAGTTACAGGAATTTGATATTGATAAACTGGGGAAAATAACCACACCCTTTTTTGTGGCATAAGCTGGATAAAAGGAATTTAAGTTTTTCTAAGATTCCAAGATTTAGTAAGAATTTAGCAGGGTAGAGGATACTTATACTAGCCTCATATTTTGAGGTCAACAAAGAAGGAATTTAAGACTTTTTTTTTTTAGGTTTGTTCTTTAATTTGACAGAAATGTTACAAGACAGGCAACTTTTATGTTGGCTTTGCATTCCTATTGGATGATGGTAGCCATATGGGAAGGGATCATTTCATCTCTCCTGAAGCAAAGAGCACAGAAGAGCACACAAGTAGGTGTCTGGTAACAGCCCGTTAATCAACTTGCTTGCTTCATTTCCATTTCATCCCTAAATAGAATGTGAAATGCCATTTTATGCCTGAAACATAGCAGCACAAATATTTTCATGGACTTAGTTCAATGTATCTCTTGAAATGAGGGCCAAGTCAGTTGCTTTAAGGACACCCTCCCACAGCTTGACAGTGGCTCTGACCTGCTTTGTTCAGCTCACGTTAGCACAGACCTCATTCCCCAGCACCTACATTTATGAAAGATGGATGAAATAACTCCTGGTGCTTTCATCCCATCCTAAAATTGTTGCTGCACTACACAATAACTGTCTAGAGTTGCTTATTCCTTTTCTTCTATTAATAATACATTAAACCTCAGTTTAAAAAAAAGCTCAGAGAAAAAAAAGGGAAAATAAGATGATAATGACTTCTTGACAGATCTTGAATGAAAGGCTTTAACATAGCTTTAACTGAGTTTGACACACCATTTTTAATGTGCAAGTGCCTTCTGTTTCCCAATCTCTTCATACTTAATTGAGAAGTCCCACTTAGGGATGAGCAAAGAGTCTAATGAACCTCCTCCCCCAAAATTGTTAATTCAAAATATCTGATGTTGATTATGCATTTTTTGGGTGATAACTACTCTCCCTGTTGACGTCTGCATAGAAATGGGCTGAATAACTGTGTTTTGTGAATAGAAACCACACTGTTCAAATTGGAATGTTTTATTAATCACAGTTCTTAAAGATATTGAACATTGGAGGGGGTAGATCAGGGAATTAATAATTCATACTCATGAAATGTCCCTGAGATGAGTAGCTGTTCTCTTTATAAATATTACAAACCTCACATACTCCCTTAGGTAAAGACACAATATTCAACACACATAATGATGAACAACAACAAAACAGCATTTTAATTTGAATCACAGTAGCCCTAACTACGGTTTGCTCATCTTGTTAATACATATCCCCTGGGGTTGTGTGAACTACGTGATTAGTAGCCCCAAATAATAGATGATTACCCTGAGATACAACAATCGACCATATTTGGTCACTATCAGTGATTAATGACATAAAATAGAAGAGATAATCCATATGCATGGAGGACTTGTGTATCATTTTAGTATCATGTCTAATACTTCCTGCACAGCTAACCTAACACTTGAACTTATTTTGGGAATACATATTTATGTAGGCTTGTTAATCATTTACCTATAAAAATACTAGGTATTTCTGAAATTTGGAAAGTACTTTGTGTTGCATTTATTCTTTAGTAAGAATTATCATGGCATACATTAGCACTGTGAGATTAATTGCTCTGATTAGCAAATGTTATCAGTGACAAACTAACAGAACATTTTATTTGCTGCAGGTGTCATTAATATTAAAAAAATGAAAGGGAAGGAAAAATATTTTTAAATAGGTATGTATGAGTTGATCGGGTCATATCGGACTAGCCAACATCCCTTTCCTCTGACTTTTGAATTCACTTACAGAGATGAGGGATTAGCACTGGGTTACCTCGGGTTCCTGGAAGCCCCTCACATCTCAGCAGCTCTCATATCTCTGGCTGCTACTTTCTCACTGATTACCCACTATTTCTGTAGCTAATTATCTGTTGGCATATTTCAAGCTTCTCTTTTCAAGTAGAATGTGGCTTGAAACTGTCTTATTTATCTCTGACCCGTATCTGAGCCCGGGCTAGTATTTTTATACAATCATAGGTTCTGAAAACTGACATGTTGATTGATTGATTAGTATTTGAGTGGTAAATCAATTTCAGAACATGTTTTTTTTTAACTTATTCTCTACAAAGTCAAATAAAGCCATATCTGCTTAAGTAAAAAGGATGCATCATATATTTTCAGTTCTTAACCTTGTTCAGATTGCAGTAAATGCAAATAGCCTTATATCTTTCTCTATTAGAGATTCATACTTATGAGAAGATATAGTGTCTTCATTTTACTAAACATTTTCAGCACCTACCATGATCGAGTCACTGAGAATGCAGGAATATATGAGGGCACTGTCATTAAGGTACAGTTTTGGAGGAAACAGATGTTGATACATAATAGAATGAAAAACAGAAGATAGAATGAAAGAAATTTTAAATAAATTCATGATAAACACTGTTGTCTGAAATTTAGGGTTGTTACACACTTTGTTGAACCCACAAAGCTCCTTGAATACAAGATCCATGTTTCTATTTTCTGTTATATCTCAATTGCTAGCAAGTCCTACAAATAAATTCATATTACTGAATATCAATAAAGGTATGCTCTAAAAATAATTTTATTCTGATATTTTTCCATAGTTTTACAAGCCAGTGACTAGCACATTCAGCCAAACTGTATAGCAGGATTAACAGATTTATATTCGTATTTTTCTTCTCGTTGTGTGACTGGTGCTGGTGAGAGTAATACATGGAGGTCAAGAGGCAAATGTTCTCCTACGAATTGCTTGGCCCGTTCAAAATGAACACAGTATTTAGAAAAGGAAGAAGTCACTTCAGCAACTTAATGGTACTCTGAATATTTTATATCTTCAAATACTTTATTTTCACATAAATTGAGAGCTCCACAAAAGTAAAACTATCAATGCGTGTCGAATAAGTGGTTAAAAAATGGACATCCCGTTTTGTGTATTGCAGCCAATGACAGCAATAGGCTTGTAACGGTTGCGATTAGTGGACTTTGTTAGATTTCCTATTAAATCTTTTATTTGTCTTGCTCTTTTATGGGAGCAGGAGAAGGAGAGGTGTGTATGGGTTTTTATGAAACCAGTCATGTTTCCCTGTTTGCTAAGATTGCTCCTGCATCAACATTTCCAAGCACTTCATGTTGAGTACTGTATGTGATAGGGTTAACATTCTTCTCCCATCCCATATGTGTGTGTCTGTATGTGTTTGTGTTTATGTGAATGTGATCTAAAGTACGTAAAATCTTTTCCAGGAACTAGACCAGAAGAACTATACAGAGAGCCATGTCAGGCCTCTGGAAGGTATGCCGTTTCACAAGGGGGTAGAACTGTCTAGAGGTCACAACACTGAACATATCCTCAAGTGATTTGCTCTTTTAGAAAGTGAGTGCTGTCTGGAAATCAGCAAAATCTTCCCTGAGTCTTTTGCCAAACTCTTCTTGAATTGTACCTAAAGTACCTGATCTGGCGTATGTAAGTGTGATTTTCATGGTATGTGCATCGTGCCAGAAACCCAGGTGATCTGGGCAGTCCCTCCTCTCCCTTGCATTGTGACTTGTTATGTTCCACAGCCTCAGACAATTTGCACATTCTCTCCCACCTCACAAAACCCTTTATCATCTTCATGATGAATTTTCACTGGATCTCCTCAGCAAAGAGGTCAAACAATGGAACCCTGACCTTATGTAGATTCATCAATCTCTAGTATCCAGGCAACTTCAAAAAAATCCAAATTTCTGCTGACCATAGTAGTGCAGTTAGCATGCTGACATTAGGGAATTTATAAAACCTCCTTGCACCTCAGTTTACTCAGGTGCAAGTCTGATGCCAATGATGTGCCTCCCTTCCAAGACTGTTGTAAGGATTAAATGAGTAAGCCCAAGGTAAGATCTGAGAACACTTTCTGATCAATAAGTGCCATCTAGGATATCTAACCTATGCTGTCGATACTGCCATATGAGACTCTGGTGTGGAGTTGGTAGGAGACTGATATGGATTGGCTGTGTCCCACCCATATCTCATCTTGAATTGTATTCCCATTAGGCCACATGTTGTGGGAGGGACCTGGTGGGAATAATTTGAATAATGGGGATGGTTTCCCCCATACTGTTCTCATGGTAGTGAACAAGTCTCATGAGATCTGATGGTTTTATCAGGGGTTTATGCTTTTGCATCTTCCTTTTTTTTCTCTTTGCCACTACCATGTGAGAAATGCCTTTCACCTCCCACCATGATTCTGAGGCCTCCCAGCCATCTGGAACGGTGAGTCCAATTAAACCTCTTTTTCTTTCCAGTCCTAGGCATGCCTTTAACAGCAGTGTGAAAACAAACTAATACAGTAAATTGGTACCAGTAGAGTGAGATGTTGCTGAAAAAATACTGAAAAATGTAGAAATGACTTTGGACTTTGGTAATAGGCAGAAATCGGTTTGGAGGGCTCAGAAGAAGATAGGAAAATGTGGGAAAGTTTGGAACCTCCTAGAGACTTGTTGAATGGCTTTTACAGAAATGCTGACAGTGATATGAACAATAAGGTCCAGGCTGAGGTGGTCTCACATGGAGATGAGGAACTTGTTGAGAACTGTAGCAAAGGTGACTCTTGTTATGTTTTAGCAAAGAGATTGGTGGCATTGTGCCCCTGTTGTAAAGATTTGTGAAACTTTGAACATGAGAGAGATGATTTAGGGTATCTGGTGGAAGACATTTCCAAGCAGAAAAACATTCAGGAGGTGAGTTGGGTGTTGTTAAAAGCATTCCTTTTAAAACGGGAAACAGAGCATAAAGGTTTGGAAAATTTGCAGCCTTATGATTCAGTATAAAAGAAACCCATTTTTTTAAAGAGAAATTCAAGCTGACTGCAGAAATTTCTGTACATAGCAAGGAGCCAAATATTAATCCCCAAGACAATGGGGAAAATGTCTCCAGGTCATGTCAGAGGTATTCATGGCAGCCCCTCCCATCACAGACTCAGAATTCTAGAAGGGAAAAATAGTTTCCTAGGCTGGGCCCAGTGTCCCAATGCTGTTTGAAGCCTAGGAACTTGGTGCCCTGTGTCCCAGCCATTCCCACCATTGGTAAAAGGAACCCAGGTACAGCAGTGCCCATGATTTCAGAGGGTGCAATCCCTAAATCTTGGCAGTTCCATGTGGCATTGAACATGCAGGTTCACAGAAGTCAAAGATTGAGCTTTAGGAAACTCCACCTAGATTTCAGAAGACGTATGGAAACGCTTGGGTGCCTAGGCAAAAGTTTGCTGTAAGGGTGGGGCCCTCATGGAGAACTTCTGCTAGGGCAGTGCGGAAGGGAAATATGGGATATGAGCCCCCACACAGAGTATCTAACTGGGACACCACCTTAGTGGAGCTGTGAAAAGACGGCCACAGTCCTCCCGACAGGGATTGGTAGATCCACCCAAAGCTTGTCCTATGCACCTGGAAAAGCTACAGTCACTCAACGCCAGCCCATGAAATCAGCCAAGAGGGCTATACCCTGCAAAGCCACAGGGGTGAGGCAGAGCTGCCTAACACTATGGCAACCCACCTCTTACATCAGTTTGACCTAGATGCAAGACATGAAAGCAAAGGAGATTATTTTAGAGCTTTAAATTTGACTACCCTGCCGGATTTCAGACTCGCACAGGCCCTTTGTTTTGGTCAATTTCTCACATTTGAAATGGCTTTACCCAATACCTGTACCCCCACTGTATCTAGGAAGTAACTAGCTTGCTTTTGATTTTACAGGCTCATAGGTGGAAGGGACTTGCCTTGACTCAGATGAGACTTTAGACTATAGACTTTTGGGTTAATGCTGAAATGAGTTAAGACTGTGGAGGATTGTTGGGAAGGCCTGATTGGTTTTGAAATGTGGGAACATGAGATTTGAAGGGGCCAGAGGTCGAATGATATAATTTGGCTCTGTGTACCCATTCAAACATCATCTTGAAATGTCCTCCCAGAATTCCCATATGTTGTGAGAGGAACCTGGAGGGAGATGATTTGAATTGTGGGGGTGGATTCTCCGATACCATTCTTATGCTAGTGAATAAGTCTCATGAAATCTGATGGTTTTATCAAGAGTGTCCACCTTTGCATCTTCTTCCTTTTTCTCTTGCTGCCACCATGTAAGAAGTGCCTTTCACCTCCCGCCGTGATTCTGAGGCCTCCCCAGCCATGTGGAACTGTAAGTCCAATTGTCCCTCTTTTTCTTCCTGGGCATGTCTTTATCAGTAGTGTGAAAGCAGACTAATAATACGGAGACCCACTGTATCATTACAGTAATAGTGGCTGAAAAATCCCTGAATCCATGGTGACCCCCAGGAGCTTGACAAGTGCTTTCCCAGTTCCTGCTTTAGTAAGCAGCATCACTCTCTTCTTTAGGGTCATCTACCACATGAATGTGTTTCTCCTTGAAGCCTTTTCTGACCACTTGAGCCAACAGTGATCTTCTTTCTCTCACTTTGCAATGCAGACAATGTGCACAACACAGCTAACCATACCATGTCTTAGTTGTTCATGTGCTTCTGTTCTGCTGGCATACCTAGGTGATGAGGTTCAGCCAGTTGTTGTGTTATATTTACCTGAACTCTTTAACATTGTGACTCACCCACATAGGGTGGAACAAGACTTATTAAAGTAGTATTTAAAGATATATGTGTGTTTGGGTCAGGGGATATTAGAGTGAGGCTATCAACACTCCTAACCAATCTAGGCATAACAATTTGACTGTGATTACACCATGTTATTCTTCTTACACTAAATTCTTTATTTAATAATCACTTCAGGGGTTCTCAGAACTCTGTATAAAAGCAAGAAATATTCAATAACAATGGCTAATCCCAGTTTGTAGAAATAACTCTACATAATTTTTTTGTTTGTTTGTTTTACTGAGAAAGAGTCTTGCTTTGTCACGCAGGCTGGAGTGCAGTAGCACGATCTCAGCTTACTGTGACTTCCACCTCCTGGGTTCAAGCAATTCTCCTGCTTCATTCTCCACAGTAGCTGTGATTACAGGTATGAGCCACCACACCTGGCTAATTTTTTTGTTTTTAGTAGAGACGGGGTTTCACTATGTTGGCCAGGCTGGTCTCAAACTCCTCACCTCGTGATCTGCCCACCTCGGCTCCACATAGTTTTCTAACTGAATGAATTATCTATTTAGCAAACTACAAAGTGTGCATAGATGCTTCCTTCATTTTTAAAGCACTGCAGAGACTTTCAAACAATTTTATTTTATTCTGGATATATTATCTATTATTTTACCAGCATGCCCCTTTCTTCTAACAAAATCTTACACTGAGAACCAAGTCCATGAACAGAAATGAGCAAGAGAAGGAGTATGCATGAAAGGGAGCTTGAGGATAATAGTTCTATCTAAAGATGGACCATTGGGTGTTGGTCCTAAGGCTCTTCAGACATCCCCTCTGCACCTCTGAACCCTTCTGTAGATATTTAGAGATCAGTGGCATCTTTGACTTCAAGAAAAATGAGTTGTGGAATGAGACAGGTCTGGGTTGAAATCTTGGTTCTGCTATGTACCTGCAATAAACTTACAAGCTAGTCTTTTGAAATCTATGAGCTACAAAATAAAGATAATCCTAACTAGAATATTATCTTAAAGGGCTGTAAGAATTGCCAAATATGTGGTCCGGAATATAGTATGTCTTCCTATAGGGTAGATACCATTATTCTCTTCTGTGTTTCGTGTCATGGGTCTCTTATGTCATTCTGTGTAGGATAGCCATACTCTTGTATAAGATGATTTTTCTCAGGTCCTAATGGAGAAGCAGAAATAGATCCATCAACGTTTACACCCAATATTCATTGTTCCCAAGTCCCCAACTGCTTTGCTACAAAACCCAGGCTTTTATAAGGTTACCTCCCCACACGATTTTCAAGTATTCTCCAAAGCAAAGATGTGCCCTCTGGTTATTACTCACTGCTGTAACTTAAGCTTCATGTCTTAAGGGGACTTCCAAAGTACTGCTGTGGGTTTGTACCTCACATTATTTTTGTACTTTCACATTTCCCAAAAAATATCCTCAGTTGATAATGAAGACACACTACAAATAAACATTGCTATAAGATAAAACTTTTCCTACCCAGGCAAATACAAAAAATAGTTTTTCATTATTACTCGTAGCTAGGGTTCCATAGAATTGTAGTGGTGACATGGTGTTCATGTCTGATGATACCAGGAGGTTACGGATGCCCAGCCATGCTGGGGACACTCAGGTAGGTCAGAATTCTAAATTCCTCACCATTGTTGTCTCTGTACAATCCACGGGCCCTGCCACACTTCCTGCTAGCACTGATTTCAGGAAGTGAGTAGAATAGTGTGTTTTGGCTAAGCTCAGATGGGAATTAGAGCAAGGTTCCTTGTACTCCAAAGGGTCACAGCATTAAGAAACACAGCTTTTCCAACAGCCACACCTAGCTCCCTCCTCCTGGCTACACATAGCCCAATGAAGAGATCAGAATGAGTTCTAGTATGAGGTAATAAATATACCATACTTGGCTTTGTTATTCAGTTTGGCCCAAGAGATTTGGTCTTCCTGACTTACCTGGTAATAAATTTTCTTCTGAGATCTACATTGTTCCTCCCTGAAATCTGGTCCCTGGTGCCCCTAGGTAACCTCAATCCTTGGTATAAATGATTTAAGCTGCATAGCCCTATTTTACTTGTCAGAAGCATCTGAGCTGAGATTTTGCCCAGCCAAGATACCATTTTATATAATAGATCTGAGTTCACATACTAATTGTGGATAATTCTCAATTTCCATATGCATGTGGTCAAAATTTATACTTTAAACATAAGATGCTTCACCTACAGCATGTATATATTCCTTTTTTTTACTGCTACACAGATTAATGCATGAGCTATGTGATAATATGCATACATATATGTACCTTAAACACAAACTATATTCAAGGCACGATATCTTGTTCTTTAAGAGTATTTACATTTTAATTCTCAAAACAATCCTATAATGGAAACACTTTGATTATGAGTACTGTATAGATAAGGAAACCTGAAACCAGAAAAAGGTAAGAAACACATCTAAGTCTAACGTGTCTAAGTCACAGTGTAATGGCAAGCCTGGGATTTAATCCCTAGTCTTCTTCTAAAAGACTATACATTTGCAATAAATAAATTACTACATAAAGATGCCTTCTTTTTTATAGTTGCATTATTAGTGTTTATAAATTTTTTTATGATGGTTGCTTCTAAGGCATTCCATGATTTTACATTCATAAAAAAATGCAATGACATGTAAATGCATTGGAAAGACAAAGAATGTAAGTGCAGATTCATAAATGCTCATCACTTTAGGGTGGTTCTTACTCTTTAGTGTGCATCAGAATCCCCTGGAGGACTTGCTAAAATACACAAAACTGGGCTCCATACTGAGTGTCTGACTCAGGTTGTCTGGGGTGGGGCCTGAGAATTTGTATTTCTAACAAGGTCTGAAGTGATGCTGATATTGCTGGTCCCAGGACCACACTTCCTGCATCATTTCTCAATACTAAATGGAAAAGCAGTCCCTGTTATGACATAAGCCCTATCATTATTAAATTTCATAAATACAGCATACTTTATAAACAATGGTGTTTATGCTCACTGTGACAAAATATATGAACTCTGAGCAAGATACATAGCAAATCCTCATTTAGGACTCATTAATGGATGACTGCTTTATATCTGACTCTCAAGTTTGCATTGTCTGGAATTACCAAGGCTTCAGGTGAGATTTCCCATCCCACTCTCTTAGGTGGCTTGCTGGAGGGGAATTTGGAATGGCCCCAAAATTAATTACATCCTCTCTTCCGTTTCTTTTATACTCCTAAATGGAAGTTTTTGTACCTTTGGATCTGTTTGTCTGTCTTGAGCTCTCCCAGGAGGGAAAAGAGAAGGAGATTAACCAACAAAGAGCTGAAGCTCCAGGGTCTTCCCCTACAAACCCACAGGATTTGCCATTTCTCTGGTTTTGAGAGGTGAAAGGGTAAGCAGACAGCCATCCTGTGCCCAGTAGTAAATCCTGTTTCCATTGGGCCCTTCTCTTCTTACTGCAATTTGCACCTTACCCAGGTGTGAAACCTTTCCTGGGGCAAGGAAGATGCAAGCCCCTCTGTCAGCAGCAGGTTGAAGCCACTCTCCTCCTTGTTACTGAGGAAGTGAGTCTCTGTCTCAGCCTCTGATTTTCCTCAGACACTTGAACTATTCATACTCTATTAGACACATATGAAGGAAGGAAATTGGACTTTCTCAGGTTTCAGATGTATCAGCAGGGATGTATGACTGAAAATTAATTCCCTGACACAGACTGATGAAGCCAGCGGTTTCCTGAAATACTGGGATACATTTTATATTCTTTATAACACATGATCTCAATGTTACCTGTCTTCCCTGGTTCAAAATGCTGACGTTTTGACAATGGGACATAGAATCTTCCATTTTTATAAACAACTTTCTTGTTAATTAGTTAAACTGTCAAGAAATTGGTCAGTTTGTATAGTAATGAAAAGACTCTAATAAAAATCTACATGTCTTCTAATGAGTGTAGAATGCCATTTAGATATAAAGTACCAGATGAACTAATGCACTTTTAGATCTGGAGTTTGGCAATAGCTAAAAACAAAACATATCTTCTCTGGTTTTTTTTTAATTTCCCAAATCTGGTGTTTTTTTTCACATGATTTTTTTGTCTCTTTTTGTAGCAGTACTATTCCTTGCCATTACACTGCCACTTAGACAAGTTAGACTTAGACGTGTTTCTTACCTTTTTGGAGTCTCAGGTTTCCTTATCTATACAATACTCATAATGAAAGTGTTTGTGTTATAGGATTGTTTTGAGGATTAATTAGCAGTTTAAGCACTGCTAATCATACAAGCTCACTCATGAGGTATTGGTAAATATCATTCTTAAACCAACTTTATTTTTACATATGGTATTATTTTCATTTGATGTGTATTCATTTTAATTTACTGTCCTTAAGTCTCATATGCAATTTCTGGAGGTTACATTTTAAATATCACTTATTATCCATGGCTTCTAGAGCAAGTTCCTTTATTTTTCTGATCCCTTGTCTACTCACTTGAAGAAAAGTACCAACTGCTTTAACTCACATGCTTGTGCTGGTGTAACAAATGCCTGATGTATGTGAAGGAACTTAAAAACCTAGGAAATGTCATGCAAATTTGTAAGACTTGCTATTACTGTGTGATTGTACTAACCCATACAGAACCTTGTAACAGAAGAATCACCTAATCAAGATGATTAAAATCTATAACAAGGATAGCATCCAGAGGAGGCTCAATATATTGACTAAAAGATAAGACTGAAGGATTTAATGAGAGTTGACAGGATTCTTTTGACTGTATATTGAAGCCAAATAATTAGGATATTTCTGCTACGAACACCTGACATCAGAGAACACTTCTAGAAACTAAGAAATATATTAAACAGAAAAAAAGAGAAACAAATATTCAACAAGACACAGAAATTACATCCTGGAAACAAATCCAAAGACATATTCTTTTCAGCTCCAGTAACAGCCCATCCAGAAATTAAAAGCAGCAGTCCTTTGTGTACTTTAAAATACTGAATAATATTGCAGTTGTAAGTCTCGTGGTCCTCTATCAACCAACTCCCTGAATCTCCCTGGGTTTTAAACAAATTGCTTTGTAGAGTAAGTATTGAAAGAGCTTTGAGTAGACCAGCCAGTCTTACTAAGAACACATGAAGGAACTCATTGCACCCCCAGTGAATGGCTTTTCAGAACTCAGTTTGGGGTGTGTATGTGCATCTGTACGTGTCTCCTTTTGGTAAACCAGAGACAGCATAACTAGTGGCTAGTATTTCTGGAAGCAAGTATCTCTGCATTTTAATTTCTTTTCTTAAAAATAAAATCTAGATTAGCAGTTAAATAAAGCAGCCTGTGGTTTCTGGAAAGTTGAAAGGTGACTTATATTGGGCTTATTGGTGGATGGGATAAGGAAAGAAACCATGCATTAGATAGTGCCAATGATAAAGAAGGGAGGAAGCTACCGACACCATTCAGCTGACTACATGGTGCATTACTTCTGGGTTGAAAGAATTATTAGGAGAGCCAATAAAGAAGAAGGGTGGGTGGTTGTAGTGGAATTATGAGGAAAAGCTCATCTTTTTAAATGTTTTCAGAAGATATGGTACTTATTCGGTAGACTATGAAGACTTGCAGTGCAATACTTACCAAAGACTTTCAGAATCCAAGACTCTGTCAGTCTTGAAAATGCATTTGCTCTGAGCGTTGAGTGTGCTGGTGGTGGGGAGTTAAGTATTCCCCCATCTTTTGTAGGAAAGAGCCATTTCAAAGTTCTCAAAGGAACATATAAGCAGCTTTTTCAGTGTTAGCCTTCTTCTCTGCTTAGCTTGTTAATATGAAGATAGATTTAGAGAACAATGTTTTTTTTTAACGATACTGAAACATCAAATAAACTTTCTTGAGCCCATCCATCTCTGTTTTGTGCTAGGCATAGTGGCACTATTTTTGGAGACATATACTACAATAATGGAAGAATGAATTTCACATGTTGAGCTTGAGGAATTAATATTAAGATGTTTGCATGTGTTACATAAATAAAAGGGAATGCCACATTATTTAGTAGAGATGTGCACTGTAAATTAAGTGCTAGTAATACTTAGTGTGAGATATTTAAGGGGTAGCCTGACAGGGGAGATTTTAATCTAGTAACTATGTATCAAATATCTTTCCTTATCTCTTTTTGATGACTTAGAACATAGAGATAAGTCAGTTACAGTCTTTGTTCTCTGGTTTCTTAAAAATCTTTAAGGAAGTATTGCCAAAGAGGACAATGAACATGAAAGTATAAGTTAGTAGTCAGTCTGTTCTTTTTAAATGGGAAGATTGGAAATGAGTTGAAGTTCACTCTATTCTGGAAACAGCCTGCCTGCTACATTTTAACCCTAGTGCTATTGCTTTCCCAAATGAAAGCCCCAAATTGCCCATCACTTCTATATAATTTAATATTGAAAGTTGGGAAATAGCTAGGCTGAGTTAGCTTGATCTGGTAACTCACTTGGTTTTCTCTCCAAGCCTTTTTTGAGATTTCATTCCCATTGATGAAGACATTCTGAAGTGATGCTTTTTCTATCTATTATACAACAGACCTTTTGTTCACAAACAGTAAGAAGTGGAAAGAAAGAGTTTAGAAATCTTACTGTTGTGGAAACTAAGACCTCCTGTTACTCTTCATTTTCTTCTATTTGACATGCCTGCAAAGTGCTATCAGTGCTGTTTCTCAGAGAAGTAAGAAATCATGCTTGGTTGGTGTATCAGCAACGGCCTCATGAAATGATTGGAATTTGAAAAGAAGTCTAAAAGCAGATTAAGATTTCAGTGGTGGTGATAGTGGAGACAGAGGACAATCCATTTGAAGTGGAGACTATGAGTAAAGGTATAAATATAAAACATTGTGGGACATGACAATGGCAATGTGTCGTTATAATTTGTGAGAACTAAACATACATTGATGTCAAACTATTAGGTAAATTCTGGAATGTATGGCTGTCCACCTGTGAAATTATTTGGAATAAGGTAAACAAATAATGGGCTATGAAAATGGCCAAGGCAAAATATCTGAGTCTGAATTAATTAGATGGCAATTGTCATGAAGAAGCAATGAGCACAGAAGACCAATATTGTGAAGGGAGAATCTGATTGGCTTCACATATATCACTTGGAATAGAGTGAGTGGCTCTGATGAATGAGAGGGTAAATGGGAAGGTGAATGAAGACGATTCCAAGAGTAGGTGTCTGGTTGATTAGGAACATGACATACCATTGCTGGCAACTGGATAATCAGAAGTTGGTTGTTCCAGATGAGGGATGCATAGCCACTGGAGGTTTTGATGTTTTAGACTCAGGTGTGTATATATTTGCAAAGCTATATTTTAGAATGATGAATCTTCTGGAATAATAGGGTGGCTTGAAGGGGATAAATCCTTTGAGCAGCAGGTGGTTGGTCATTGTTAAAACCATTTGAGACCAGGCTGGCCAACATAGTGAAACCCTATGTTTCTACTAAAAATACAAAAAAGTTAGCCAGGTGTGGTGGTGCACGCCTGTAATCTCAGCTACTTGGGAGGCTGAGGCAGGAGAATCACTGGACTCTGGAGGTGGGGATTGCAGTGAGCCAAGATTGTGCCATTGCACTCCAGCTTTGGTGACAGAGCAACACTCTGTCTTAAAAAAAAAAAAAAAAAAAAAACCTTCAAAAGGATGATTCCCAAATGGCAGGCTACATAGTTAAGAAATAGTGAAGCATCACTGTGAATAATGCTGACTTGTGATTGTATAACTAGAAGGACTTGTGTCTAGCAAGTGGTCATACATATAGATTTTTTAAGAACAATTTTTGGGAGCACAGCACCTACATAATTTAAATATAGGAGTCAGTTTTGACCAAAAAAAAAAAAAAGCAGTCGTTACTAATTCTTCTGGGAGGCATGCACACATCCAAGGCAAGGAGGGGAGAACTCCATGTATTTCCATTGAGGGCCCCCCATAGTCAAAGGATTAAGACAAGAAAGACACATATTGATAAAGAAATTTTAATAACTGGAAGGAAAGGATAACACTTTTCAGCTTACAGAACTTGAGTACAATTACCTGACATCTATTTTTAAGAAAGAGAAGGAAATTTAATTGAATGCACAGTTAGACATCTATCAAAATGAATTTTCTTTAAAAACCTCATATAACAATATCCCATTTCTCTCTCAGCATAATGATTTCTTACCAACAAAGCCTGTCAGTGTTTCCTAGAAGCAATATTGAAGTGACTTCTTGCTGGAAATTCAGCAAATGAACTTTTTTTGCTCCCAGAATCTCTCTCCTCATTAGGCTAGTTAGAAATTCGCCTGGGGCTCCCAGCCCGTCTTCTCTCTGACGGATGCTAAGTGTAGAGAAGCTAATGGACACTTTAACTGTTAGGGGGCTTTCGATTCAATCCCTTGCAGCCTGGCAGCTCACTCCAAGTCCTTTCAGAAGAGCTGCAATCATATGCACAAATATGATAGTTAAATATGGGCCAGAAGGAAAATCACATTTTTTTCATTATAAGGGAGATACTTGTTAAAAAATGGGAAATAATCTGTGAAGGTATTCGATGGGCTGGGACTTTCACACCTTCAAGAGGCCCCTCCCACTGAACTGTCCCTATAGCAATTTGCTCCTTGCAGGGAACAAATGGGGAAGGACTCCCTTTTACCATTCTAGGTGTGCTGTTACAGCCTCCTCCTATGTGCCATCATATAATACAAATGTTCTCTAATAGCATCTAATAGCAATTACTAATAGAATATAACAGGTTTGCAATATTTTGAATTTGAAATGAAAAAAACTGATGGGTATCTTGTAAATGTGAAAATGTTTTACGTAAACATGTAGTATCTGAGAATAGGTTTAATTAACCCTTTCCAATTACATTAACTTTCTTAGATTTTCCCCTTCCCTCCTTTGTACACTTTCTGCCCTAATAGCAGCACCAATAAATTGGTCAGTGATTGTTCTCTAATTGTCTGTGCCCCATATTTTTCTCCATCTAGTCAGAAGGTTTTTAAATGATCATTTCTTTTGTTTCCACTTCTCAGTTCTCCTCCAACAAGGCTGGCCACGAAGCTCTGACTTTACAATTCATAATTGTGTTCTTAATGTACAGGTTAAATTTGGTTTGGAGAAACATGGGCCTGGTGTTTTAGATTGTTTAGATTCAATAATTCACAAATGTCTAGACATTCAAATAAGGTCAGAATAAAAATCTATTCTTTGAAATGTATTTAGCAATTCCAGACATCGATTTGGAGAAATGTGTCTTCCACAGGTAACTGAAAGAGAAATCTGTTCTGGTTCTAAATATGAGTCAAAGTAGCAAGACCCAGACCATCTTATCTATTTAAATGGAAGATCATTCTGAAAGGTATAAAGATGCCCCCACAAATCTGTCTGGTGCCAAAGCATCAAGGCACAATTTATCCCAAATGACTGCCATTGCTGTGAGACAAGAGCTGAATGTAAAGAGGCACTGGAGCTCACAATTCAACATTGATGGGGTTGTTTTCCCCAGGATACTACCTCATGATTTCTTCAAGTCTATTGACTGGTTTATTTTCCTCTTGGGAAAAATAAGATGCCTATTTTGTTTGGTGGCTGCAGGACTTGGTGCGACAAGATCCAGCCCACGTGTCTCTGGTGACTGTATAAGAACCAGGGCTTTCTGAATCTATGGCAACAATGTGCTGCTGTTCTGGTAGTAGCATGTCTTACTGTTATCTCTGATGGTGTGACCATCTCTGATGGTGTGACCTAACATAATGTGACACATACTAGAAGAAGTGATCAGGCAGGCAATGTTGCACATAACAAATATGCCATCTCATCTGAACCCAGTCCTGCTTTTAGCAGATACTAACTTAAAGGGTGTATCACTTTTGTCCATATCCCTCAAGGTTTTTGGTGATAAGAAGGCCATGTGAAGGCCACATCTGTTATGGATATAAAAGTAAGCAGTATCGGGTAGTAACAAAAGGTGATGTTTGAGATGTTATGTGCCCAAAAAATCAGTTGGAGGAGGTGTAATTGGGTGGTGAGAGTGAGGATAAGTGATCTATCCACTCTACCACTTGGTCTCTGAGACTCACAGCTGCAGCAAAGCAGTTAAGTTGTGCTTCAGTAAGATCAAGTGGGAAGGACAAGGCTGAGAAAACCTTAAGCTGTACCTTTAATATTTCACTGCAGAGAACTTCACAATTTGGTTCAAGTTCATTTCCTTGTTCAACTATTATAGTTCATGCCTTCCTTATATCCATCAGCCAGGATCTGGTCAAGCATACAGAAACCACTTTAAGAATTTTGAACAGAAAATTTGGTACAGAAATATATCTAAAAGTTCTTAGAAAGGGTTACGGGAAACACTAGGAAATGGTGGTACAATCCAGAGATAAGAAAGTGGAGGAAGCATCTAAAAACCTTCTTTTAGGACGAGGGAAGCAAAAGAGAAAAGAGAGATTTAGTGCATCAGCCCTACCTACAAATGCCTTTTGAGCCTCAGCTTTTCCATCCCTTATCGGCTACTTCTGCTGATGGGAACTAATCAGAATCCAACTGGAAAAGGAGTCCAAAGAATGTCATTTTTAGTTTTTCAACTAAAACAGAACACAGAACAGTGAGTAGGAATGGAGTTCAGTAAAGACAGACAATATTTGTCATATTATGGTTTGGTTATTTTAATGAAAGGTAAACAAGGCAGGAATATATTTTTCTGTATAACGTATATATACGTAGACATGTATACGCATGGACATAGGTAACTACAACACCTAGCGATAATGTGCTAGACTTAAGTGTCAGGTAACCGTGTGTTTATTCCCAGCTGTCGTTGTATGCCTGGGACTGAACAATAACACCTGCTATGTATTCTCATTAGTAGAACGCAGAGGATGCAACATATTCTAAAGATATGGCATATTTAGCTACAGTGCACATTAAATGCTTTAAAATGCTTTATACTTTAATCTCATTTGACAAAGGTTTTGCAAATATTAGCACAATAGTTCTTCTCACTTTGGAATGGATTTAAAACACTGTATGAGAACTGATATTTTGCTACTTACCGTCTCTTCAATTGTGGCACAATAAATACTTGATATTTAAACTAAAGGTTGACCCTAATACCTAGGGAAGAGAGTGACACACATTTACTATGTTATTAGAAATATTAAAAAAAACCCCACAGTGTCCTTTTCAAAGTAGCATGGAGTAGGAGAAAAACAGATTGTAAAAAATTAAATAATTTACAATGTGAGTCTTAAAAGGAATTTTCTACAACTTGTTTTTTCATGGCACAGAAATGCCTCGCTGTATTGATCATCACTGAGAAGTGAGGTGTTCTACTTAACTGTTTTTCATATAAGTGAAGACTACCTTTTTAATTTATTTTTAATCATTTCAATATTTTAAAAGTAACATTTATTGTTTTCCTGCATATAAAATTAACATACGAGAGAGGAGCTGGATCAAGATTGTAAACTGAGCCCATATTTTTTCTTACTATCTCTGCACTAAAAATTAACAGAAATTACAGAAATAATACTTTTGTATAAACAATAGAAAGTAAGAAAGGGTCTCTTAGGAAATTCTGGAAGAGAGAGAGTAGTTGGGATAAATTTTCAGAGGGATCAACATATAGAAAATTGCCAAATACCAGTGGTAAGAACACTCTCTTTTTAAAGTTGAGAAAAATCCAAGCTTTATGACAAATTCAAAACCACTAAAGGCCTATAGCATAATCAAATTACTGAACATGGATAAACTGGGCCATATGGATGCCTTAAGCTCTCCTAACGATGAGATTTTGCTTGTGTGTGTATATGTGTGTGTGTGTTTGCACATGTATGTGTTTTAGTTTTTTATTTTTTAATTTTTTATTATACTTTAAGTTTTGCAGTACATGTATAGAATGTGCAGGTTTGATACATAGGTATACACGTGCCATGGTGGTTTGCTGCATCCATCACCCTGTCATCTACATTAGGTATTTCTCCCAATTCTATCCCTCCCATAGCCTTCCACCCCCTTGCTATCCCTCCACTAGCCCCAGCCCCATAACAGGCCCCAGTATATGATGTTCCCCTCCCTGTGTCCATGTGTTCTCATTGTTCACCACCTACTTATGAGTGAGAACATGCAGTGTTTGATTTTCTGTTCTTGTGTCAGTTTGCTGAGAGTGATGGTTTCCAGCTTCATCCATGTCCCTGCAAAGGATGTGAACTCATCCTTTTTTATGGCTACATAGTTTTCCATGGTGTATATGTGCCACATTTTTTTTATCTAGTCTATAATTGATGGACATTTGGGTTGGTTCCAAGTCTTTGCTATTGTGAACAGTGCCACAGTAAACATACCTGTACATGTGTCCTTATAATAGAATGATTTATACTCCTTTGGGTATATACCCAGTAATGGGATTGCTGGGTCAAATCGTATTTCCAGATATATATCCTTGAGGAACCCTTACACTGTTTTCCACAATAGTTATCTAATTTACACTCCTGCCAATAGTGTAAAAGCATTCCTATTTCTCTACATCCTCTCCAGCATCTGTTGTCTCCTGATTTTTTTCAATGGTCACCATTCTAACTGGCATGAGATGGTATCTCACTGTGGTTTTGATTTGCATTTCTCTATTGACCAGTGATGAGGAGCTTTTTTTCATGTTTGTTGGTTGCATAAATGTCTTCTTTTGAGAAGTGTCTTGTTCATATCCATTGCCCACTTTTTGATGGGGTAGTTTGTTCTTTCTTGTAAATTTGTTTAAGTTCTTTGTAGATTCTGGATAGTAGCCTTTGGTCAAATGAGTAGATCACAAACATTTTCTCCAATTCTTTAGGTTGCCTGTTCACTCTGATGATACTTTCTAGTGCTATGCAGAAGCTCTTTAGTTTAATTAGATCCCGTGTGTCTGTTTAGGCTTTTACTGCCATTGCCTTGGTCTTTTAATCATGAAGTCCTTGCCCGTGCCTATGTCCTGAATGATATTGCATTGGTTTTCTTCTATGGTTTTTATGGTGTTTTAGGTCTTATGTTTAAATCTTTAATCCACGTGGAGTTAATTTTTGTATAAGGTGTAAGGAAGGGATCCAGTTTCAGTTTTTGCATATGGCTAGCTAGTTTTCCCAATACCATTTATTTAATAGGGAATCCTTCCCCTATTGATTGTTTTTGTCAGGTTTGTCAAAGATCAGATGTTCGTAGATGTGTGGCGTTACTTCTGAGGCCTCTGTGCTGTTCCATTGGTCTATATCTCTGTTTTGGTAACAGTACCATGCTGTTTTGATTACTGTAGGTTCATTTGAAGTCAGGTAGCATGATGCCTCCAGCTTTGTTTTTTTTTTTTTTTTTTTTCTTTTCCTTAGGATTGTCTTGGCTATGTGGGCTCTTTTTTGGTTCCATATGAAGTTTAAGGCAGTTTTATCCAGTTCTGTGCCAAAAGTCAATGGTAACTTGTTAGGGATAGCATTGATTCTACAAATTATTTTGGACAGTATGGCCATTTTCATGATATTGATTCTTACTAACAATGAGCATGGAATGTTTTTCCATCTGTTTGTGTCCTCTCTTATTTCCTTGAGCAGTGGTTTGTAGTTCTCCTTGAAGAGGTCCTTCACATCTCTTGTTAGTTGTATTCCTAGGTATTTAATTCTCTTTGTAGCAATTGTGAATGGGAGTTCACTCATGATTTGACTCTCTGATTGTCTGTTACTTGTTTATAGGAATAGTTGTAATATTTGCATATTGATTTTGTATCCTGAGACTTTGCTGAAGTTGCTTATCAGCTTAAGGAGATTTTGAGAGCTAACCTGATGTTAAGATTTCTTCTGCTTCCTAAGGATTTTTAAAGCCAGATTATCCTTTAGAATCTGAGCATAATTTTCTGTTGTCCAACATTTTTGTAGATATTTATTTTTAAATTTAGTCATTTACCTGAAAGAACTCAATCTGTGGTTAATATTTGGCAGTACATGGTTAAGTAGGGGCATGGATTCGACTCAGTCTTTTTACCTTGTTCAGTTTCTAAGGTCAATGGCTGGAGGGTCAGTGCATAGGCATAATGGTTTAGCAGATTTCCAGTGTATTATAATCCTGATTGAAACTATTCTATCTGGTTCTGTTTGTATGCTTTAACAAAAAAAATTGAGTGTATGTAAGTAAACCTTAGGAATATGTATTTAGTAGTCCTTTTCTAGAAGAAACATGTCAAAATCTAAAATCAATAGAATTTCATCACTTTTACGAGTCAAATTAAGGGCCACTGCCTAGCCATTTCAGCCATTTGCCATGATTTTACTTGGAATTTAGATCTTAGAATAACTGTAAAAGCTACCATTCATGTTAGAGGGTAGGAGGAAGAGATTTTCAGGAATGAAATGGCCCTCAAAACTTCAGAAATTACTACCATGTAGTAAGGGATTTCTGGGGGTAAAAATACAGAGTTTGATTACCTGCCAGCTTGTTTACAAATGAATCATCACAATGAAGATGAGTGAAAATATCTACCCTTTTTCTGTCTAGATGAATTCTTCTTTCCCAGGATCACAATCATGCTTTAAAATTTTAAATTTCATCCTAAACTTTTAACAATAATTTCTTAAATTCAAAATAGTTGAAACCCAGCATCCCTTGTGCATCTTCACGTTTATGTCAGTCAAATAGTGTTATATAATCACTTTTTAATTCTTAAGTTCAAGGTTGATATTATCTTCATTTGGAAGATAAAGAATTTTTTCCCCACAGAGCAATTTCACAATTTTAAGGAATTTGCCAGTAATCACATAGCATGAAAAGTGGTAGAACTAGAATTTAATTCAAGTCTCCATATTTCTAAAAACCATGCTCTTTATTTCTCTTTTAAAATTTATTTTCACCATAGTATATAATCATTAATAATATGTGATTTAAACTAGGGCCTAAAAGGTGGATATTTTAATACCCAGAATGATAATGGTAAGGAAATCGAAGGAGGAGAATAGGTAGAGATAAATCAGAAGCAAGAACTGACAGGGCAATCAGGAAGACCTACTTTTTTGGAATGTAGAAAATGTGTCTAGCAGCAGTACAAATAAGATAAAGATGGTAAAGGTATTGTACATCAAGCCATTGTACCTCATACTGAGGTATCTGTAAGAGCTGCTCTAGGACTGGAGTGTCACTTAAGTTGACTCATTTTTATAATCTAGGCATATATGCCATATCTCATAAGGGAAGAGACTATAAAAATGATAAGAGCACTTTGTGGTTGGTGGTAAGTCACATATGGAATAAAATTGTTTTATTTAAGGACATTTTTAAAGAAATAATTAAATACAGGATGATTTGTATGCTGCTGGCTTAAAAAATGTTTAACACCTTTACCTAGGTAAGAAGTTGATAGGCTCTTACTTTTTATGTATTTATTTTTTTGTTATACTTTTTAAGCTCTGGGGTACATGTGCAGAACATACAAGTTTGTTACATAGGTATATACATGTCACAGTGGTTTGCTGCATCCATCACCCCATCATCTACATTAGGTATTTTTCCTGATTCTATCCCTCCCCAAACCCCCAGCCCCTGCTATCCCTCCCTTAGCCCTCCCACCCCCAACAGACCACAGTGTGTGATGTTGCCCTCCCTGTGTCCATATGTTCTCATTGTTCAACACCCACTTATGAGTGAGAACATATGGTGTTTGGTTTCCTGTTCTTGTGTCAGTTTGCTGAGAATGATGGTTTCCACTTTATCCATGTTCCTGCATAGGACATGAACTCATCCATATTTATGGCTGCATAGTATTCCATGGTGTATATGTGTCACATTTTCTTTATCTAGTCTATCATTGATGGGCATTTGGGTTGGTTCCAAGTCTTAGCTATTGTGAACATACCTGTGCATGTGTCTTTATAACAGAATGATTTACAATCCTTTGGACATATACCCAGTAATTGTGTTGCTGGGTCAAATGGTATTTCTAGTTCTAGATCCTTGAGTAATAACCACACTGTCTTCCACAGTGGTTGAACTAATTTGTGTAAAAGTGTTCCTATTTCTCCACATCCTCTCCAGCATCCATTGTCTCCTGATTTTTTTAATGATCACCATTCTAACCGGCGTTTGATTTGCATTTCTCTAACAACCAGTGATGATGAGCTTTTTTTCATATGTTTGTTGGCTGCATAAATGCCTTCTTTTGAGAAGTGTCTTGTTCATAGCCTTTCCTCATTTTTAATGGGGTTGTTTTTTTCTTATAAATTTGTTAAAGTTCTTTGTAGATTCTGGATATTAGCCTTTTGTCAGATGGGTAGATTACCAACATTTTCTCCAATTCTATAGATTGCCTGTTCACTCTGATGATAGTTTTTAGTGTTATACAGAAGCTCTTTAGTTTAATCAGATCCCATTTGTCTATTTTGGCTTTTTTAGCCATTGCTTTTGGTATTTTGGTAATGAAGTCCTTATCTATGCCTATGTCCTGAATGGTATTTCCTAGGTTTTCTTCTAGGGTTTTTATGGTATTATGTCTTAGGTTTAAATCTTTAATCCATGTGGAGTTAATTTTTGTATAAGGTGTAGGGAAGGGATCTAGTTTCAGCTTTCTGCATATGGCTAGCAAGTTTTCCCAACACCATTTTTGAATAGGAAATCCTTTCCCCATTGCTTGTTTTTGTCAGGCTTGTCAAAAATCAGATGGTTGTAGATATGTGGTTATTTCTGAGGCCTCTGTTTTGTTTCATTGGTTTATATCTGTGTTTTGGTAGCAGTACCATGCTGTTTTGATTACTGTAGCCTTGTAGTATAGTTTGAAGTCAGGCAGTATGATGCCTCCAGCTTTGTTTTTCTTTTATTTATTTATTTATTTTTGCTTAGGATTTTCTTGGCTATGCAGGCTCTTTTTTGGTTCCATATTAAGTTTAAGGTGATTTTTCCTTAGTTTTAAAGTAAAATGAAATATTTAACTTTAAAAAGTGCTGAGAATGGGGATATTAAAAGTCACCCAGGAGATGATATTCAATAAATCATGTGGATTAGATCCATCACATGGTAGAGGACTGAATTTTAGAGCATTCCAAATAGAGGTGGTGATTGTTTCAAGTACATAGGAATTGTTCAAATATTAAAGTGCATTGACTTGCACAGAACAAAATTCAATTTAACAGGGGCATCAAGTACAACAGAGAAAAATAAACAATCAGAAGGACACAAAGATAGTTAAGTTGCAGAAGTATAGGAAAAGTAAGTAGTAGTCACATGGGACAAAGCAGAGCAATGTCTAAAAGGAAGTCTCTGGAAATGGTCACACAATGGTCAGTATGAAATCCAGAGCTCAAGGAATTCTGAAATATGTGCGTGGTAAAAATGTAGAGCCAATTAATTATATGGATTTGAGAAAGACATGAAATAGCATAATCTTACATTAATAATGTTTATTGAATATATACTCTAAGAAGTACAACAAATATAATAGTAAAATGTCTTCAATGGGTATAGTTTTTTGCAGCTTGCATGGCAGGGAGCTGGGCCAGGTGCTAAGGTAATACGAAGGGGATCCAATATAGTAGGAGTTCCCAACCCCAGAGCCACAGAGTAGTATGGGTTTGTGGCCTGTTAGGAACTGGGCCACACTGCAGGAGGTGAGCAAGTATTACTGCCTGCCTGAGCTCTGCCTCCTGTCAGAGCAACTGCAGCATTAGAATCTCATAGGAACGTGAACCGTTTTGTGAATGTGCATGTGAGGGATCTAGGTTGCAAGCTCCTTATAAGAATCTAATACCTGGGGATCTGAGGTGGAACAGTTTCATCCTGAAACCATCCACCACCATCTCTCTGCCATCTCCCAGTCAGTCCAAGGAAAAATTTCTTCTGTGAGACAGTTCTCTGGTGCCAAAAGGGTTGGAGACTACTGCAATACAGAATCTATTCTTGAGGAGCTCCCATTTTTCTATGAGAGATTAAACAGGTACACAAGTAGAAAAATGAAAAGTGCCCCAGAGAGGCCAACAATTTGGCTTTTCTCCGAAGACTCTCCCATACTAGTGACATCAAGTGTTTCCTCATTAATTCCCGATGAATGAGATCACCAGATACATTCTTTCTTTATTTGCTGGACTAATAAGCACTATGAGCTCAGGGACTGTATCTGCCTTGTTCCTGCTGCTTGCGCAGTTTCTAAAACAGAATCTGGAACAAAGATTGCTTAATAAAACATTTTTAAAAATGAAGTAATAGATGGAGGGATGGATGAATGCATGAAGAGATGGAAGGAAGGATGGATAAATTAGTAAAAGAATGGAACCCTAACCATTGTTCAGATGAAATACTGCTTTACATGACCTTCTTTATTTTTCCAGTTGTATTTACCAGTCTATATATTTCTCCTACTATGTCGACCCTTGGGGTTAAAAAACATAATACTGTACTCAGCTGTCCTGTTTGAAATCTGCCACATTGTATCTCTCAACCTTGTGTTCTTAATTTGTTCCTTTAACATCACAGTAGCAGCCCAGGTAACTTACAAATACAAGAAAAGATACTGTTAGATTCTTTTGAAAGATAGAAAAATGCAATTTTCTTCACGTTCTCAAAATGATATAGCTTTTGAAAATATTACACTTTTTACCAACTTCTGAATTCAGAGCTAAAGAGTTACCTTTCAATTACTTTCCACATGAACATAATGTGATTTGATATTGTCACCAAGTTCTGATAAATGGAAAATTATTTGTACTTAGTCTGAGAAGTATTGAAGAACTCTATAAAGTTGATCAGGTTTTGCTAGACTTTAAAATTATTGCGGCCCCTGCAAACACCAGATACATCAAATTATTTGAAAGGGTGATGAAAAAACGTTGGTCTGATTAAACTGAGACCATTCTCTGACTTCCTAAGCTGTCAGACAACCTAGGAACTATTGCATACTGCATATGTCTCTTTCTGAAATGTTCTCTGCTTTCATTTTTATGAGAGTGAAAGCACAGTTCTATAATATATGAAGAAATCTGTGGATTCTGTAGAGACAGGAACAATGTGACATAAATCTCAGGAAAGCATCTGATTTCACAAATTTCCCATTTGATTCCTGCTATTGTATGAGGCTGGGCTCTTCGTCTCTATCAAAATCAATTTGGATGCCTTCTTGAGACTGCCCCCAGAGAAGCCAATACTCTTGTGGATTGGACCACAGATGCTATAAGTCTGAATGTACATTTAGGTATTGGTGTGCTTTAAATTTAAATGCATGACTAATTTTGCATTATAGTGTCTTAGTAGAATACTAAGATGATTCCTGAGAGAAGTAGCATTAAATCCACTCTTGGGGACTTTTTTTGGGAGGGTGGGGAATCAGATAGTCATATCTCTGAGAAAAATATGTGGTAAAGACCAGGGAATATGACATAGAATTTAATGTCAGACTTAATACTTTCCACAAGTTGGATATTGGAAAGATTTATAGAGGAAGTGTGACTTATGAGTGTTAAAGGCCAGGAATAGTCTAGATAAGTTGAGAAAGGGTGTAGGTAGTTTAATGGTGATAACAGCTTTGGGCACAGATCAAGAAGGACAAGGGAGCAGAAGATCCATATTTAGCAGGAGTGGCTGGGAGAAGTGCCACAGGAGAGCCAGAAGGCATCCTAATGTGTCCATATACAAGGAATTTTCTGTTTACTCTTTACAATAGGGTGGGTTTTCTGCTTGGTGGAAGCATTAAGTTCAACGTCTATACATTTAGAAGCCACTCTATGTCCTTGATGTGGAAGAAGGTTATGATAAAAGTCATGTTTTAAATTAGATCTATAATACTTATTGATAACAGCAAACACTGTAAGGACTTAAAGCACATTGAACACTGTTCCTCTATATCTATGAACTAATGTATCTCTCAAAACAATTTAATGAGTTTGCTACTATTACTTCTGTTTCAGATAACCAAGCTGAGAATCAGAAAAGCTAAGAAGCTTGCTCAAGAATGGATAATAATAAAAGGTAGGCTTGGGAAACAAACTAACCTAGGCATTTGGGCTCCAGAGCCTGCTAAATGCTAAGCTAAAAGCTATGCTAAGCTTTCCGTTTGTTTGCTATATATTTTTATATAATAAAGTTTTTACAATAAAATAACATTTAATAGTTTTATATTACTGGTTAGTACGGCTATATCAGAAGGTACTCACTTTTCTTTTGGGTAAACAGTTTGTTTTCATTTTTTTAAATGTTATGATAAGCAAAGCTGCATGAATTTTTATCTTTGTAAACACACCTCCAGGAAAAATCAGTTATTAGCAGTGAAATGACTGGATCAAAGGATATGCATATTTTTAAGGATTTTGACATAGGCTGTCCTAAATCACTCTCTAGAAAAATTTTTCCCAATTTGCATTGTCCTATGAGATACTGAGATAACTTTCGTTAAATTCTCACCAGAAATGATTATCTTTTTTTATCTTTGACAGTTTAACAATTTCCATGCTAATCATTATAGATTCAATTTGAATTTTTGATTATAAATTTAAAATATTAAATAATTTTGTGTTTTATTCTAATTTATATCTCTTCTTTTCTGTTTAAGTGATCTTACTGTTGTTTAACATATTTGTAATTGTGTTTCGTAGAGTGCAGTGATCATTCCCATTGTTATAGCAAAATTGTAGAGGTTTTAGTTGTTAAAAAAAAAAAGCTTTCAAGTTTTTTTTTTCAAGTCAAATATATCAATATTTTTCTTTAGAGCATTTCTGAGTTTAATGCTTAGAAAAACTTAGCATAATCTCAAGGTTATAGAATTATTTGCTCTCATTTTGTATTGTTTTCTATGATTTTAATTTTTAAAAATTGATTTTGATGAATTATCTAGACAGATTGCTTTTGTTTTTCCTCAAATAAGTAGCTGCTTGTCCCAAGTTTATCAAGTGACTGTTCAGCCACCAGTGTCACTGACCATCATTTTTTTCTTTATGCCATTAAGAGAAAGCATAACATTAATTAATCATATTGAGTAATGTTTAATTATATAACTTAATTACTTTATGTTCTAATATGTTAGCTCTTTTCCCTGAGACCTTTGTCTTAATTATCAGAATGGTTTTTATTGTTATTGGAAAATAACTGGATCTTAATTATAAAACTGGATCTTAATTATAAAAATACTACAAACTTATTGCAGAAACAAATCAAACAGTAGGAAAAACAGAAGAAAGGTAATAATTATGATTTGGTTTTTGGGTTTTATCCTTCTATCTCTGTTGGTTGTTGCTTTTAACATGCATTTTTCAAGACAGTGTATATATTGATTTGTAATTATTTGTTTTATTTGTAATACTTTATTTTTAGAGCTGCTTTAGGTTTACAGCAAAATTTAAATTACAAGGAATATTTGTTATAACCAATGAACCTACATTGACATATCATAACACAATGCACACAATTTACATTAGGGTTCATTTTTGGTGTTACACATTCTATGAGTTTCATCAAATGTTTATTGATACGCATTAACCATTACAGTCTCATACAGAGTATTTTCACTGCTCAAAAATCCTCTGGGCTCTGCTGTTCATTCCTTCAGATTCCACTCCCCCCAATCCCCTGCAACCACTGATCTCTGTATTTTCTCTGTAGTTTTGCCTTTTCCAGACCCTCATATGATTGGAACCATATAGAATATCACATTTTAAGATTGGCTTCTTCCATTAGCAATAAGCACTTAATTTTTCTCCATCTCTTTTAATGGATTGATAATAATTTGTTTAGTGCTGAATAATACTCCATTGCCTGAATGTACCACAATTTATCCATTCACCTACTGCCATACATCTGGGTTGCCTCCAAGGTTTAGCAATTATAAATAAAATTGCTATAAACATCCACTTGCAGGATTTTGTGTGGGCATAAGTTTCTAAATGCTTTGGGTAAATACCAAGAAACATGATTGCTGGATCATATGGTAATATTATGTTTTGTAATGAATCTTTGAAATCAACAATATTGAATTTTTATAGCTAAATATACATGTATAGCACAAAAAAAGTGTCACAATTTATTCAACTAATCACACATTGTTTTATTTTCAGGTATTTTTCAAATATTCTGTTAAAATAATACAACATTTTTATATACAAATCTTTGGGGAAAGATGTAAGATGTTAAAGCAGGTTTGCAGGCAAGATGGCCTAATAGAAACCGTTCTTGTGTACAGCTCCCAGTGAGAGCAACACAGAAGGTAGGTGATCTTCACATTTCCAAGTGAGGTACATGGCTCATCTCATTGGAACCAGTTAGAAAGGGGATGCAGCCCAAGGAGGGTGAGCTGAAGCAAGGTGGGGTGTCACCTCATCCTGGAAGTGCAAGGGGCCAGGGAACTCCCTCTCCTAGCCAAGAGAATCCATTAGGGACTTTTTCCAGCACTCTAGTAGGCTGGCTCACATACTGCGCTTTTCCACAGTCTTCACAGCCCGCAGACCAGGAGATTCCCTCTGGTGCCTACAATACCAGCACCCCAGGTGTCCAGCAAAAAACTGGGCTACCATTTGTGAAGACACCAAGCTAGTCACAGCAGGTGTTTTTGTTTGTTTCATACCCCAATGGAGTTGTTTAGAATACCAGCAAGTCAGAACTGCTCACTCCCGTGAAAAGAGAGGCTGAATCTCAGAAGCCAAGTGATCTGGCTTGGCAGATCTCACCCCCACAAAGACCAGCAAGCTAAGATCCACTGGCTTGAAATTCTCATAGCCAACGGAGGAGTCTGAGCTCAACCTGTGGCATTCGAGTGCAGTGAGGGGAGGAATGTCTGCCATTGCTGAGGCTCCAGTAGGTAGTTTTAACCTCACCTGTGTAAACAAAGTTATTGGGAAGTTTACAAAGCAACTGGGCAGACACATGCACCTCATCAAGGCCTCTTGATGTCACTGTGTCACTAGACTCCCTCCTCACTGGTCAGGGCATCCTTGAGAAAAGGCAGCAGCCCATCAGAGATTTATAAATAAAGCCCCCACTGTTCTTGGACAGAGGACTTGGGAAAAGGGGTGATCGTGGGTACAGCTTCAGCAGACTTAAATGTTTCTGCCTGGCAGCTCTGAAGGGAGAGGCAGATCTCCCAGCACAGCATTTGAGCTCAGATAAGGGACAAACTTCCCCCTCCAGTGGCTCCCTGGCCCCTGTGTATCTTGACTGAGAGACACCTCCCAGCAGGTGCTGACAGACACCTTATATAGGAGAGCTCTGGCTAGCATCTGGTGGGTATCGTTCTGGGACAAAGCTACCAGAGGAAGGAACAGGGAGTAATCTTTGCTGTTCTACAGGCCCTGCTGGTGATTCCCAGGCAGGAAGGGTATGAAGTGGACCTCCAGTGAACTCCAGCAGACCTGCAGCAGAGGGGACTGACTGTTAAAAGGAAAACTGTTAGAAGGAAAACTAAGTTTCAACATCAACAGAAGGAATGTCCACTCAGAGACCCCATCCAAAGGTCACCAACTCCAAAGACCAAGGTGGATAAATCCATGAAGATATAAGAAGAAACCAGTGCAAAAAGGCTGAAAACTCCAAAAACCAGAATGCCTCTCCTCCTCCAAGGGACCACAGTTCCTCACCAGCAAGGTACCAAAACTAGATGGAGAATGGGTTTAAGGAATTGACAGAAGCAGGCTTCAGAATGTGGGTAATAACAAACTTCTCCAAGCGAAAGGAGCTTGTTCTAATACAATGCAAGGAGGCTATGAACCTTGAAAAAAGGTTAGACAAAATGCTAATGAGAATAACCAGTGTGGAAAAGAACACAAACGACTTGATGGAGCTGAAAGACACAGCACAAGAATGTCGTGAAGCATATACAAGTTTAAATAGCCAAATTGATCAAGCGGAAGAAAGGATATCAGAGGTTGAAGATCAGCTCAGTTAAAGCAAGAAGGCCAGGTTAGAGAAAAAAGAGCAAAAAGAAATGAACAAAGCCTCTAAGAAACATGTGCGTATGTGAAAACACCAAATTTACGTTTGATTGGAGTACCTGAAAGTGATGAGGAGAATGAAACCAAGTTGGAAAACACAGTTCAGGATATTATCCAAAACTTCTCCAACCTAACAAAGCAGGCCAACATTCAGATTCAGGAAATGCAGAGAACACCACAAAGATATTCCTCGAGAACCCCAAGACACATAATCGTCAGATTCATCAGGGTAAATAAAGGAAAAAATGCTAAGGGCAGCCAGAGAGAAATGCTACCCACAAAAAAGACCATCAGACTTACAGCAGATCTCTCTGCAGAAACCCTACAAGTCAGAAGAGAGTGGGGGCCAATATTCAACATCCTTTAAAAAAAGAATTTTCAACCCAGAATTTTATATCCAGCCAAACTAAGCTTTATAAGCAAAGGAGAAACAAAATCCTTTATGGACAAGCAACTGCTGAGCGATTTTTTTCACCACCAGGTCTGTCTTACAAGAGCTCCTGAAGAAAGCACTAAACATGAAAAGGAAGAACCAGTACCAGCCACTGCAAAAACATACCAAATTGTAAAGACCATCAACACAACAAAGAAACTGCATCCACCTAACAGGCAAAACAACCAGCTAGCATTAAAATGGCAGGATCAAATTCACATATAACAATATTAAACTTAAATGTAAATGGGTTAAATGCCCCAATTAAAAGATACAGACTGGCAAATTGAATAAAGAGGCAAGACCCATTAGTGTGCTATATTCAAGAGACCCACCACATGTGCAAAGAAACACATGGGCTTGAAATAAAGGGATGGAGAAAGATTTACCAAGCAAATGGAGAGCAAAAAAAGGCAGGGATTGCAATCCCAGTCTCTGAAAAAACAAACTTTAAAGCAACAAAGATCAAAAGACACAAAGAATAACATTACATAATGGTAAAGGGATCAATGCAATAAGAAGTGCTAACTATCCTAAAATTATATGCACCAAACACAGAAGCACCCAGATAGATTTAGACTCAAAATTAACAAGGATATCCAGGACCTGAATTCAGATCT